ATAGACAGACAAATAAAAATAATGCAAAACTCACCTCATATTTGCCTCATTCCATGGTTTAGCAGATTCGATGACGAGGTAGCAGAAGCCGCCGCCAAGGTTGAGCCAGCGATCATCCGGACACGTCCCCGTGGCTGGGGGATCGGGGGTGGGCACGGGACCTGATAGGGGGGGAGGAGGAGAGAGAAGAGGGTGTTTGAATGCGTCCGTGATGGCGTTGACTGATGGCGAATGGCTTACGGTTTTAATGCGCTTGTGTGCTGTTGTTGATTTAAATATTTCAGTTGTTATTGTTATTTCCATTGGCTTTCTTGTTTATAGTGTAATCATTGTTACTATTGTCATATTTCTTATGAAGTTTTCATTTGTTTTCGTTTTGATGTTATAACCGTTACAGAATAGGATTATATTATCACTGTTATCATTATCATGATTATCATTACTACTACGATTATTACCATCAAAGATACGAATAAGCACCACCTGATACCGGATACCATAATATAAACTACCATCATATTAACCTAACTATTCTTGTGCTTGTAGACATACGGATATTTCCTGAAACAATACCCACTGTACCTATTATTTTTAAGCTTTAGTATCTGTCTGTCATTCGTTTCATAGTTTCAGTACACTTTTCGCTGCGTTATGGCACTGAACTTTTTTGAACCCATATCATGTCTGTCTTTCGTTTCATAATTCCAGAACACTTTCACGAGTGCTATGACTCCATTTACAGCTTTATCACTATAGTTGTGTTTCCTTTCACAATTCACCGTCTTATCAATACATTGATTGCGGATATATGGCCTCTTGTCAAAAGAATGCTCTCTGGACCACTAACTTCAATTATTGTGATTGTTTTTTTTTTTCTTCTAACCTAGTACCTTTAATGCTTATATACATGGCCTCTTCTCAGACTACGGCCTATTAACCTCTTTCATCTGTGTATCCACTCATATTCGTGTTTTTTTTGTTTGTTTGTTTTTAATTCTTCCAATCGTTATTTCATTTTTAATTTGTTCAGAATGAATCCTACACATAGCATAACATCTTCATCCTCACAGACTCACAGCCTCTTGACAGAATCATTCGCTATTTAGAAACTAAAATCTTACCCCCTTTATTATATCTGTCTTTATCCTCATGTCCTTGCCGTCTTTATGCTTGTATATAACTTCTCAAAATATTGCTCGCTATTCCATAACTCTTTTTTTTAACTCTTAACTGCACAATCTACCACCCTTACAGACATTCCTCCTCATAATCCTTAGCCGGCAGACGTAAAATCTATTATCAGAACACAGCTCTATCAAAACCTTATCCCTAACCTTTTTTATCTGTTTCGCTTCACCTATCCCTCCCCCTCTTTATCATATTTCCGTTGCTCCTCCCCCCTTCGTTCATCCTCTCTATCCTCATCTCCATCAACCTCACCTACTCTTCACCCTATCACCCACATACCCTGCCCACCCATCCCTCACCCTCTCTATCACCCACATACCTTGCCCACCCATCCCTCACCCTCTCTATCACCCCCATACCCTGCCTATCCATCCCTCACCCTCTCTATCCCCCCATAACCTCCCCTCCTCCCCTACCCCCATACACCTTACCATCCTTATGCTTGCAGACGTAAGGCTTCTTCTCAGAACAGAAGTCGCTGTACCACGACCCCTCTTTGGTGGCACTCAACCAGACGCAGTTGTGGTCCGTTTGGTTGGAGTTCGGTTCATTCTTGGCCCAGTTCGTGTAGATGGTCGGCCAGTCGTCGGACCAACGGAACTGTACTTTGTCCTTTAAGGGGGGAGGGGGAGAAAAGTAGGAGGGAGGGGGTGGTAAGTCGTTTTTGTTGTTGTTGTTGTGGGAGGAAGAGGATGAGGAAGGTATTATAACATTTAAAAAACAAATCAAAGTGAGGAAGAGAAAGCAGAAGAATGAAAAAAAGGAATGAGAAAATAAAAGTGAGGGAGAAGAGGAGGAGGAGGAAGAACAAGAAAAAGAAGATGATGAAGAAGAAAAAGAAGATGAAAAGCAGGAAGAGGAGGAGAAGGAGGAGGAGGAAGAAGAAGAAGACAAAGAAGAGGCAAAATAAGAAAAAAGAAAATAATAATAAAAAGAAATAAGAAAATAAAAAAAGTAAGAAGGAAAAAAAAAGAGGAATAAAAGGAAGAAAAGGAAAAGTATATAATCTTTTTAAAGCAGAAGAAACAAGAAACAAGAAGAACAGAAGACTCAAAAAAAGAAGAAAAAAACAAAAATGAAAAACAAACAATCCAATAAAAAAAGGAAACGCTACCTTGAGGTTATTCAGCCCAATCCACGTGTCCTCAACGCCCGTGTCCAGCGCCAGCACCCACAGGAAGGACTGCTCGGACACGTGTTGAACGGAGGCCAGGTGCGCGCCCTCGCTCACGCACGCGTCCTCGGCGTCCTGGGGGAAGGGGTTGGGGGGTAGATGATGGTTTTCAGATTATATATTATCCAATTCAATACGCAAAAAAAAAAATACGAAAAAGGGAAGTATATTATGGTATAGAATATCAGGAAAGAGAGAGAGAGAGATAAAAAAAAATACCTCTTACCTGCCAGGAAGTAGGAGTAGAAACAAGTTTGTAACATGATCCACTGTAGTTCAAATAGCTTTCGAGTGGGGGCGCGCACGTGGGTGGCGGGCTGTGGGTCCCTATGCTCGGGTCTGTCGAGACATTTATAAAACAGAGGAAACGAAGGAATAGACGGAGGCGAAGAGGGCGAGGGGGGGGGGGGAAGGGAAGCGAGGGGAAATTGAGAGGGAAAATGAGTGGTGTAAGGGGAGAAAGTGGTGAGAGGGAGAGGGGAAAAGGGGAGAGGAAGAGAAGGGACAGTGTAAGGGGACAGGGGAGTAGTGGAGAGGAGAGTCGGAAAGTGGGAAGAGGAGAGGAGAGAGAAGAGAGGAGAACGGAGAAAAAAAAAGTGGAGAGGAGAGAGAGACAGCAGTGAGAAGAGGAGGAAGAGAGAACGGAGAAGTGGAGAGGAGAGAGAGAGAGCAGTGAGAAGAGGAGGAAGAGAGGAGAACGGAGAAGGGGAGAGGAGAAAGAGAGAACAGTGGGAAGTGGAGGGAAAAAGAAGAGAGAGGAAAATTAGAAAGCATAGTAGAAAGCGTGAAGACAAGGGAGAGAGGAGAGCGGGGAAATTTGAGAAAAGAGAAAGAGAGAAGTAGGAAGTAGAGAGAGAAAGTAGAGAGGAAGTGGAGAGAGAAAGAGAGAAGTAGGAAGTGGAGAGAGAAAGTAGAGAAGAAGTGGGAAATGGAAGCAGAGACGAAAGCAGAGAAGTGGAGAAGAGAGAAGAAGAGAAGTGGGAAGCGGAGGGAGAAAATAGGAGAAGGGAGAGAGGAGACCGAGAAAAAGTGGCGAGAAGAGAATAAGACAAGAGAAAAAAATGGAAAGAAAGAGAAGAGAAGAAAAAAAAAAAAGTGGAAAGCAAAGTAGAAAAACAGGGAAGTGGAGAGGAAGAGGAGAAAAATGAATAGAATTGGGGATAGCGTGGAAGAAACACAGAGGAGGAGGGGAAGAGGAGAGAAAAAACAGATTAGAATAATAAATTAACAAACCTTTTATTTTATTTTAAATCTTATCTAATCTAATTAATTTTATGTGGTAGTTTTTATCAATCATTTCTGTCATCTTTCCTGTATGTGTTTAAATCATGCTAAATGTGTGTGTGTGTGTGTTTGTGTGCATGTGCGTGTGTGTGTGCGTATGTGTGTGTGTGTGTTTGTGTGCATGTGCGTGTGTGTGTGCGCATGTATGTGTGTGTTTGTGTGCATGTGCGTGTGTGTTTGTGTGCATGTGCGTGTGTGTGTGCGTATGTGTGTGTGTGTTTGTGTGCATGTGCGTGTGTGTGTGCGTATGTGTGTGTGTGTGTTTGTGTGCATGTGCGTGTGTGTGTGTGTATATGTGTGTGTGTTTGTGTGCATGTGCGTGTGTGTGTGCGTATGTGTGTGTGTGTTTGTGTGCATGTGCGTGTGTGTGTGCGTATGTGTGTGTGTGTGTTTGTGTGCATGTGCGTGTGTGTTTGTGTGCATGTGCGTGTGTGTGTGCGTATGTGTGTGTGTGTTTGTGTGCATGTGCGTGTGTGTGTGCGTATGTGTGTGTGTGTGTTTGTGTGCATGTGCGTGTGTGTTTGTGTGCATGTGCGTGTGTGTGTGCGTATGTGTGTGTGTGTTTGTGTGCATGTGCGTGTGTGTGTGCGTATGTGTGTGTGTGTGTTTGTGTGCATGTGCGTGTGTGTTTGTGTGCATGTGCGTGTGTGTATGCGTATGTGTGTGTGTGTGTGTGTTTGTGTGCATGTGTGCGCGCGCGCGTGTGTGTGTGTGTGTGTGTGTGTTTGTGTGCATGTACGTGTGTGTGCGTGTGTGTGTGTGTGTGTGCATGTACGTGTGCGCGTGTGTGTGTGTGTGTGTGTATGTACGTGTGCGCGTGCGTTTGTGTGTGTGTGTGTCTGTGTCTGTGTGTGTGTGTTTGTGTGCATGTGCGTGTGTGTGTGTGTGTTCATGTGCGTGTGTGTGTGTGTGTTCATGTGCGTGTGTGTGTGTGTGTGTGTATGTGTGTTTATGTGCATGTGCGTATGTGCGTGTACGTGTACTTGTGCGTATGCATGTGCTTGTAGGTATAAGTATACATATATAACGAAATTATATAACATACACATACCTATACATGCATACATACAAATACCTACATCCAATCAGCCATGCACGCAGCCACACCAACCATGCACACACCTACCTCCTGCAAGCGCGGAATCAAGCACCTACCTTGCTTCTTCATGCAAATATAGCCGTTCAGGTTACTACAAGACACGTCATTCCACTGGCCGTTGTTGCTATAGGCTTCAACGCAATCCTCCTGAGGGAGTTGGTGAAGCAAGCGAGTGTGAGTGAGGATAGGGAGGATAATGAGGATAGTGAGGATGATGAGGATAGTAAAAATAGTGAGGATAATGAGGATAGTGAG